TTACAGTTTAAGTCACTTCCGTGTTGGCTTCACGAGAGAGAGCGGGTGGTTGCCGCTTGATAAAAACTAAAGTAAAGTACAGATACGCCCAAAAAATACTTAAGTACTGTAACGAAGTATTATTACTTCATTACATTACACCACTGATGGTGTGTAACACTTTACTATGACATGAACATTTTATGCATTTTGGGAAAATGAAGCTGTATGACAGTCACACTTTAGCATACTTTAAAAAAGATAGGCTAATTTATTATAGAAAAAAATGATATACTTAAATAATACACTGAATGTAAAGTGTTTAGACTTAATTGCGTTATCTACAATTACATGAAAATTAAGCGATTACAGTTTAAATGTATATTAAATGCAATTAGTTCTTCTTTTTCTGAAACACCTGAGTACATTTTTATGTGTAATATATATATTTCTACATTGGAATTGAGTACATTTAAGATATAATAAATGTAATTAATGTAAAGTAAAAAAAAAATATTGGGTAACGAACTACAGTTAAAATTATAGCACAATGTGTTCTTTATGTTAGTCAACACATCAAAATAAGTGTACGCCTACTTTATTAAATGATTTAAAATGTAAAACTTTTAATTTGACATAATTAAAATGCTCTTTTTAAAAGAGTATTTAATTGATAAGAAATATCATGACAGTGTACTCTCTTTTTTATTATTTATTCTTTACTTAAACACGTAGATAAAAGCACTGTCTGTGACTGTGTAGCATTTTGTTTTTGTGTTATCTGCTACTAAAGGCTTACCTACATCTCAAATGACACATGCAAAGTGTCTCTTTTATCTAAATGGCCTTATTTTCTTCTGCGGAGGTTGGCAAACCAAGTTGAGTTTAGCAAATAACAGCACTTCTGCTGAAAACCGACCGAGTCTGAGTCGTGTGTGCTGTGCGCGCGTGCGTGTCAGCTGACGGCTGCAGAGGGAGCGGCGGCGGCGCCATCTTGGATTCATGAGTGAACGGTGACCGCAGCCTAAAACACCGAATACCCGGAATAACACAGAATAACACTGCTTCGGTCAGAAGCGGACACAGCTGCCTCTGCTGAGCCGGTCCGGAGGGACACAGAGACTGACACGCAGAGGTGAGTGAGGGAGTCCACCGTCGGGTCAGTCGTGACACAACCGAGCTGGGCTAGTTAACTGTTAGTTAGCTTAACCAGCTAACCAGCCGGACGCGGGTGTTTTACGTTAGAGTCACTGATGGAAATGTGTTAAATGAATAACATAGAGTATTTGGGAGCCGATTATTAAAGAAAACATCATTTAATACGCTTAAAATCGTGATGTCTTTGCATTTGAATGGAAAAAGCTGCGGCTAGCGGCACATAACGTTACCTTTAACGTTACCGTCAACAATTTCGGTCCATCTCGGACAAATATTTTAAATTAAATAATAAAATCTGTTTTATTGAGACGACGATATAGAAAGCAAACAGCGTGTATTTAAATGTATTAGTGGTTTTGAGGCGAGATGGACAGTCGCAGTGGGACAGCAGAGAATCACGAAAAATGACATGTTCATTAAAAATCATTATCGGAAGAAAAAAATCGAAATGTTATCAAATCCGGGACAGAATTGCTATGTGAACTCTTCTGGTTTTCCATCAGCAGCCATGATGGATGCTGTAGAGCGGAGAAATGTCATCATCCTCATCATAATATTCATCATGTTCTTATGAATATTCAAATATATTCATAGGGCGCTATGTTTTTATTGTTATGTTGTCGAGTGGGTTGTAATCTTGTGTGCAGGCTATGTAGACTGACTGTATATTAATAATAATTTCACTCATAATTCATTGCAGAGGTTACTTACACCTGCATAAGATGTAGAATTACATAAGCTGTTCTGTTCCTGTCATTCAGAGAGGTGTGTGTCAGTCATGGGAATGTAAAACCTGACATGAAATAATCATTAAAGGGGTCATATGATGTGATTTCAATTTTTCCTTTCTCTTTGGAGTGTTACAAG